CACGCATTCGATAGATAGCGTGATTACTCAGTATTTAAGTAGCGGTGAGTAGTTGTCCATTACCCGTGATGGCCGCCCGGAACACCTTCGTCCTCCTTAACAGTCGTTGCAGTATTCAGCATTTATACCAATATCAACATAGGATAGCTGCTGCAACAAATCTCGTAGCCCGACAGTATCCCTCTTGCTCATCTATCGACAGTCGACTCCAGCGGAATATGGGTTCGATAGCCGGGGCGAAAAATGAGTATATGGTCATCGTGCCCGATAAGGAGGGTGCGTTGCAAAAGAGAATAGAAGTACGAGGGTGAGTTTGCAAAACACTACTGATAACTACTCTCATTCGTCTTTGCTTGCTGTTATCGTTGCCTTCTGCTTCTTTGGGCTGGCCCTCCACAGTGGACATATGCTTTTAGAAACGCGATGAAAAACTGCATTGCTATGTCAATGGCCGTATCGAACCATTTTATGTCCACACCTGGCTAATTATTCGTTCTCATGCAGCGTTCATCTTGCAAACGTCAAACCGATGATAGATTCCGGTTTCCTTAAACTTGGAGGTACAAGCCCATTCCCTCATAGTACTTACCAAAGCGAAACTTGTTTTTGTTTTCGATTTTCATATGCTATCGCCCGAGAGTCCCAGGCATTGGTAATCGACGCCTAATCATTGGACGTTTAGGAGCTATGCTTGAATTCCACCCCAAAGAGGGTCAAACGCCCCCAATGAAAGGCAGTGTGTTGCTTGTGGTTGCTGAGTCTTCTGAGGCCGTACGTGAGCAATTATCAAAGGATATCTATGCCACATCAGGAGTGTGGGACATTGAAAAGGTACGTTAAACTATTCGTTAGCAATGCCTGCAATCCGGCTCCCCCCTACATTCTTTCTATTTCATGAAAGCCATATCCCAATACTAATTTAATCCTTAGATGCAAATAACACCAGTACGTCTAAGCCCCGTATAAGGTTTCCGATCTAATTTATCTATAACTAGTTTAAATCTGCGATCCGACTTGCGCTATGATATGTGGTTTCGAACGATGTTAGAGCCTGAGAGGAATTCGAATCAACCAACAAGCTCAATATGAAGGTTGCGCAGGTGTATTTATGTTTAGTCAAACCCTTCTGTTCATGAGGTTTTGGAGTATATTGCTACATGATGAGATTCCTGTCTTTGACGATCTTGAAGATTTCCAATCACAATCATTGTGCTGCTTGGCAAATTGGCTACATAATATAGTATTCTGTTGAACCTCGTTTTTCATTTTTCAAAGAATTCTTATTTTGTGTCTAACAATTTCGTTGGCAAAAAAATAAAGTGTGAAATTGTCCGAAATCAACCAAAATAGGAAGAAAAATGAATAATAATAATATATCTAGATCAAATATGTTTTTCCGTGGTATTCCTGCCCTATACAAAATTTCCTGCAGATAACTTCGATAGATATGTAGCGAAAAAAAGGGATTGGACGGTTATTTCATATTTAAACATCAGCTCGACATGCAAGAAAAAATATGGCAATCGGGAAACTATTATAATCATGAATCGAAAGAATGTGTAACAAAAGGTGACGGTGTGGAACAGACTGAAAAAGCCATATATAAGCCTTAATAATAAACAATCTCGGAACGTATAAGCCAAAGGGATGTCGGATGAATAT